TAAAATGGGTCAAAACTCACTTAACAAATTTCTCAGTTAGCAACATAAACTTTGGGACAGACTGTGTTGATGTTTGTAGTTTGAACCCATGTGAGCATGTCTCTACTTGCATTCATAAACCAAGCTCTTCTCACGGATACACCTGTGAATGTGGACAAAGCTATTATGGACAATACTGTGAAAGCAAGTAAGCAAAGAACTTTAGCGAGTTTTCTTTTCCTTTCTAAATACAGGTAATCCTCAACTTACAGCCACAATTGAGCCCAAAGTTTATGTTGCTAACTGAGAAATTTGTTAAGTGAGTTTTGACCCATTTTACGACCTTTCTTGCCACATTTGTTAAGTGAATCAGCAGTTGTTAAATTAGTCACACAGTAGTTAAGTGAATCTGGTTTCCCCACTGACTTTGCTTGTCAGAAGGTCGCAACAGGGGGTCACAGGACCCCGGGACACTGCAACCGTCATAAATGTGAATCAGTTGTCAAGCTCCCAATTGTAAATCACGTGACCATGGGGATGCTGCAATGGTCATAAGTGTGAAAAATTGTCATAAGTCACTATTTTCAGTGTCATTGTAACTTTGAATAGTCACTCAATGAACTGTTATAAGTTGAGAATTACGTTTACTCTCTACAATCTCTCTCACACACAAACATACATAAAAGTGAACCATTGTGCTCCAAACAAAATATGGAAAAGATAATTTATTTAGTTGTATTTAACTCATACCATTCTATTGTATTTCTATTGTATTGGGAAATTTTCCATGTTGAGTTCAATTCAATTCTCCATGTTGAGTTCAATTCCTAGTGATTACTTAGCAACAATACAGAAATAGCTTGCTCTTGCCTTCTTCTGGCCTGTATGCTTGTCTTCCCAGTCTGGCTACAATCCTGGGATTTCCTTGTGTTTTTCCATTTAAGTACTATTCAGTTATGGTTGGCTAGGTGCCATCATACAATTGATGTTGGACAACAATTTCCCAATCAAGGGGAGGAGTCAAATGGGGAATTAATCTGAAGTTGTTATAAAGGCATAAGAAGTCTGATCCACCCCCTTGAATGCCATTGCCTTTTTTCTAGTCTTTCCCAGGGCAAGCTGCCAGTTTGGGAAGATTCCTGTGAAACAGGCATTGAACAATAAAGTAGCTAGTTTCAATTCTACATGTGTGAGTGGTTGTTTACAACTGACGCTATCCCTAAGAAGTCATCTGTTACAGAAGTCAGAGAACTTCTCCTGAAGTGTGTGTGTATGTAGCAATAGCACTTAGACATATATTACTTTACAGTGCTTTACAGCCCTCTCTAAGCGGTTTACAGAGTCAGCATACTGCCCTCAACAATTTGGTCCTCATTTTACCCACCTCGGAAGGATGGAAGGCTGAGTCAACCTTGAGCCTGGTGAGATTTGAACTGCCAAATTGCAGGCAGCTGGCAGCCAGCANTGGTCTAGTGAAGAGAAGGACCAGGGGAGACATGATAGAAGTGTTCCAATATTTGAGGGGCTGCTACAGAGAGGAGGGGATCAAGCTATTTTCCTGAAGATCAGACAAAGAATAATAGATGGAAACTGAACAAGGAGAGATTCAGCCTAAAAATAAGGAGGAATTTTCTGACAGTGAGAACAATCAACCAATGGAACAGAAGTTGCCTTCGGAAGTAATCCTCTGCTACACACCCTTGTAAATGATGCTCTGTAGCTCTGTCTCTTGTTACTTTCTCAAGTATCATCATCTTCATTCTTTTTTGGGGAAGGGGAGAAAATGCAACAATATCTACCCAAACTAAACAACCCCCCCAGAATTTCTTATTTATATTGGTAGTAGTTTTAAGTTGAAGAATTTCTGATATCCAATACTTGCCCTGTAACATGAGTGTTGGAAAAGAAAAATATATAATTTATATACAATTGAATATGATCACAAGATTAAACGTGACTGAAATATAAAATGGAATTGTTATTTGTTTAAACTTCAAAACAATTTTAGTTTTAAAAAAGTATTTTAACCTGCTTTATACAATTCAAGTTTTTTCCCCACTGAGTTTTGTTTTGAGCCTTAAACTGCGTAATTGACATGTTAAGCCATATTTACTTAAAAAGTAAATCCCAATAATTATGTTTAATGTAAGGTTTAATAGGGTTAGTACATGCTTCCCATTATGCTACTACAGAGCTTATTTCCAAACCCTTTTGTCTGAGATTATAACTCCTGAACAACTTCTATTTGTGAGGTACTTGTTAGGCATATCATTAAGCCCTTCTTTAAACATTCAAGAAATCAAGAAGCATATTTTAAATTAGTTCCTTTAATATCTTAAGCAGCATAGTACTTAGGTTGCTTCCATACGTGATTGCATATATTATTTTACTCTTTCTAAACAGAAATAACTTTCTGTTGTTGTTGTTAGTTGCGAAGTTGTGTTCGACTCATCGCGACCCCATGGACAATGTTCCTCCAGACCTTCCTGTCCTCTACCATCTTCTGGAGTCCATTTAAGCTCACACCTACTGCTTCAGTGACTCCATCCAGCCANCTCTCTCTGTGTGTGTGTGTATGTATGTGTGTGAGAGTGTGTCAGTCTGTTTCTGTCTCTCTCTCTGTGTGTGTCTCTGTCTCTCTCCCTCTCCTCCCTCCCCCCCTCTCATAAAATGTATACAAATATATATAACTTTCCTTTCAAACCCATGTAGTGGTTTACAATGGATGTCCCAAAGCTTTTGAGGCTGGCATTTGGTGGCCACAAACCAAGTTTGGACAACCTGCTGCTGTTCCATGTCCTAAGGGATCAGTGGGTAAGTAATTGTGATTATATATATAAAGTGTTATTGTAGGTTAAGTGTTGGGGAAAATAACAATTCAAAAAAGTTGGTTGACATATGGAAGAATGTTGTCTATGTAAGCCTGAAGATGAAAGTCTGTTTTGCCCAGACTGAACCTGTTAAGAACATATTAAAAAATCTCTTTTAGATAAAGCAATCAAAATATAAATTTGACAGTTGAAACATAAGAGTAAGGAGAAAAACAAAACTTTTGAAAACTTAATCAGAATCTTCTCTTTTATTCTGCAGCATAATGACATATTTATAATGACATATATAGAAATTCAATTGACCAGTGGAACAGCTTGCCTCCAGAAATCGTGGGCACTCCATCACTGGAGGTTTTTAAGAAAAGATTGGACAGTCATTTGTCCGAGATGGTATAGATCAGGGATGTCAAACTGGATTGCTTCGAGGGCCAGATCAGCATTGTAGTTCTCCATGGGCCAGCTGGGGGGTGGGAGACAGGATGGACATCTCCTGCAGCATCCTTCTGCCCCCCGACCATGCCCTATTTTCAGCCTGGACGTCCTCCTACAACATCTTGCCAGCCAAAACAGGGCGTGAGAGGTCCCATGCATCCCCCCTGCCCGTTTTTGGCCTGAGCAGCCTGCAGCATTTTGCTGGCCAAAATGGAGCATAGGAGGGCCGCACGCAGGCCCGTCCGTGCCCCATTTTGGCTGCCAGAGGCACCATGGGCCAGTCCTTTGCTATTTCCAGGACAGCCCCGTGGGCCAGATTTAAGCACCCTATGAGTTGGATACGGCCCATGGGCCTGGAGTTTGACACACCTGGTATAGATTCTCCTGCTTGAGCAGGAGGCTGGACTAGAAGACCTCTAAGCTCCCTTCCAGCTCTATTCTGTTCTATTTGATGATTTAATTATTTCTTCATTCATTTATATATATCCAACCTGTATTATTTTCACAAATAATTCAAGGCGACAAACATATCCAACACACCTTCCTCCTCCTATTTCCCCCACAGCAACAGCCCTGTGAGGTGAGTTGGATGGAGAGAAGATGAATTGTCCAAAGTCACCCAGCTGGCTTTCGGGACTAAGCAGGATTTCAAGTCACACTCTCTTGCTTTCTAACCTGTTGCCTTAACCACTAGACCAGGGCTGTCGAACTCACAGCCCGTGGGCTGAATGCATCATGTGCTGGCCACGCCCATGCCCAGTTCAGCGAAGGGAAAAGTCTTGATTCATCAGACGATGACCGCCATGATGACATGAGTTTGACACCTCTGCACTAGACCAAACGGACTCTCGTTTAACTGGTTAAACGGCCACCAACACCAGCACCATCAAACTCCATCAACATAGCCTCCTGTTGTAAAATGCCCTTTTTAAAAAGTATAATTAGAAGGGCTTTTCACATGTAATTGTACATAATTGTTAAGCATCTATTTGTGTAATGCAGTGGTTCCCAAACTTGGCAAGTTTTCTGCTGGCTGGAGAATTCTGGGAGTTGAAGTCCACAAGTCTTAGAGTTGCCAAGTTTGGGAACCACTGCATTACACAAATAGATGCTTAACAATTACGTACAATTATATGTGAAAAGCCCTTCTAATTATACTTTTTAAAAAGGGCATTTTACAACAGGAGGCTATGTTGATGGAGTTTGATGGTGCTGGTGTTGGTGGCCGTTTAACCAGTTAAACGAGAGTCCGTTTGG